TTAAAACTCATGCTTCTCTCTCTTTCTCTCTCTCACACACACACACACACACACACACACACACACACAGAGGAAACTGTGGGTGTATTGTAAGAAGTCATGTGTACCCTCGCTCACACACTGCAGGTTCTTGATGTGCTGCTGCTCAGATGTGGTTTTGTGGTTGAATTGAGAAGAGGCTGCGAGTCATTTTAACCGCCCGTGGTTAGAAACACACAGGGAGGACTATGCTGACACAGGAAGTGGAGAAACGATACCTCACACACTCAACCGCCAACCATAGAGCAGCTTTTCAGTTTCATATGAACCCTGAAAACCACTGCAATTGTTGCGACTGCAGGTCTGGGTCGAGTCACTTTCACTCAACAGGAACAGGCTGCCTACTGATATCTCGCTTCAAACTGACTTCACCTCAAACTAGTTGGCTTCCATGGAGAGTCGGGAGCCAGCCAAGAGTGCTAGGCCAATTCCGATTGACTAATTCTGAGGTAGTCAACACAGGTCTGCGTCCAGAAGAGCCCATAGGTTGATAAAACTAGATGTAACAGCCAAAAAATTAAACAAAGACTGAGCTGAGTAACAGCAAATCATGTTTTTTTTAAAAAATTGCCCTGCACTGCATATCGCATCTTGTTAGTTTTAGCCACATTAGCAGCATACCTCAACAGATGTCTGTCTGTTCACCACATTATTTCAACAGATGGATTGTCATGAAATTTTGGAGACATTCATGGTTCAAATGAGGATGAATCCTCTTGATTTTCATCTATCCAGTCAAAAGTTTATTATCTCCACTACTCTGTGTTATGACTAAATATCTGAAAAATAAATGACATCTCCATCAGCCTTGATGCACTTTGTATTTAATAATAGAGTGCTGAATACCACTTTCATGAATTTTGAAGTGTAAATGAGTCTGTAAGCTATAAACAAACTACACTGTGGTCACATGACTTTAGTGTAGCTACTAATATAAGGCTGAAAAGCCATGTTCAGTGTGACGACACAGGCTGTTCTCAGGCTGTTTTCTTGGGGAAAGTCCCAGGATAAAGTCCTGTGTTTCGTGATGCCATCCACCATAGAGACAGAACGCATTTAAGTCCAGCCCCACCACAGGAGAAAACAATTCATCACTCTCCACTGACTTTATATTGAATGAAGGTGCCCCCTTGTCATAAACATCTGCTAACAAACAACACAAAATTACCTAAAAGCTTTTTTTGTGGTGGGATGATCTACCAACATGGTAAAGAATCCATTACTAAGTTTTTCCAAGCTGCCAAACTGAAACTTTAAAGCAATAAGACTTGAGGCACCAGCAGGAAAATATATGAAATCTGTGGGATCCCGAAACTCAGTATGCCTACATAGTACAGCAAGTATTTTTACTAATTTTGGCCAGAGAGGAAGCTAACTGAGCTATGTAAGGCCTGGTTTTGACCTTTGTTAGCTTAAATGATGATCTTACCTGGTGATTCGATCAAATACTTACTGTAAATATTACAGTATGTCACTACTGTCCTCTCTGGTAGACATGTAACTATTAACTTATTGTGTTTAACATTAGCTATGTATGTCAACTGGTGGTTAACATGAGCCACTCAGCTAATCTTTGCTGTTTTTTTCTAAAGCCAGCTCCTAATTACCAAGCAAGTTGCCAAGTGAAGTAATAAATAGATACATTAACAAGAGTTACAGCAATTGTTTACCTGATACAAAACACATTATAGGCTGGTGCCGCATCACATTCTATTTTTAATGTCTTGGAAATTGTCCCATTTGTTTCACTGGCTTGAAAAATATGTAATTAACTAGTAAACTCAGAACCAATTTGATTTATCGTGAGGGATCCACCTAAAAACAGGTTATGAGTGAAAATGAAAACATTGGTTTAGAGGTTTGTCACACTCCAAACTTTCCAATGTGTAGTTTATAAACTCCCCAAATATTTTGAACATGGGCTAATACACGTGCTAAAATAATCCATTGACATGCTGATATCTAATGTTTTTGGCGAGCTACAGCCATTTTTGTAAGCAATTCAGCCCATAGGTGCATTTTGTGGCGCTGACAGCATCCCCTCACCCCAACATGTGAGCATGTTAGCATGCTGATGTGTGTCTAAAGACAACCTCACAGAGCTGCCATGTCTGTAGACTTCTTTTTTCATCAGTTGTCCAGCAGCATGTAGCATTTTCAGAGATATTCTCACAGATCTCTGCTGTCTGCACGGAGGAATAAAATGTTTCCCCTGACAAAAACATTTAAATTCACAGACTGCTCTGGCCACTGGCCAGGCCTGCAATGGAAGGGAAGAAAAATATTGGATTCAGACAAAGGCAAACTTTATCCTGTGCAGTGACAAAAAACATCAAGAAGCAGGTCAACAACTTACTCTACTTTTGGCCTTTACATGTTCTGTGATGAACAGAATTACAAGCCACTTCTTCACACCTGCCAGCAAGAAGCTTCAGAGGGAGAGAATAAAGATACGTAATGCAAAAATAGTTTTTGGCCTTAGGCAAAAACTTTGGTTTAAAAGTTGCTCTCTCTGTCCACTACTTCATTTTGTTTAGAGAATTCTGACATATCTACTGAATCAACCCTTATTGGAAGGAACAACTTCATATCAGTCCAACAATGTGTGAAGTTGTGCACATGGCTGTAGAGGTGGAGTTCAGCACATCAGTAGTGAAGTGAGGAATGTGAGTGGACTTCCTCAGAGAATAACTGGTCGTTCAGAGACCTCTTACTTTGTGAGAAACTCATTTGAACTCAGTGTATTTCCCCATGAAGGGTGAACAAACTTGTTCCACTATTAATCCATCCTTCTTTTCCATGTGGGGCTTGTCACTTAAATTAAACAATCAATTCTATGTTTCCAAACCATTTGAACTGGGAATAACAAGCATAACATCAGGTGTGAACCTCTCAGCAAGAAGATGATGCTTACAGCTCAGAGAACATAATTCAGTTGCCTTACATGGAAGAATGAAAAAGGAAGGATGCGGAAAAAGACATATAAAAGAGATATTGCTTCAGCAGAGCAGCTGGTTGCTGGTTGAATGCTCAGAGAAACTCTTTGCCAAAGAGCCAAGCACATTAACTGATACTTGCCAAGACGTTAAGACTTTATGTGCCTTTACTTTCCTGTTCTAATGACTTTTTTCCTCTCCTCTTCTTTTATTTTGGTCCCTCTCAGCTCTTTGAGTCATTTCTCTCCTGCAGTCATCACCTTTCCTCTTCTTCCTCTCATGACCTGGCTTAACATCTTCTTTCCCCTGTTTCCTCTGTTGTCATTATGGCTTCACCTCTTCAGGTGACTCTATTAAATTACCTCCAAACTCATTCCCTAGACTGTATTTCAAATACACTTAAAGATTAGTGTCCTCATTTCTGACATGTCTCCACTACAGCTGGGCTGTAAATTAACTTATTATTAAAAGTGTGAAAAAGTAAAATAAAATCTGGTTGGGGTGTCTTGTTTGGGCATCAGTCCCCTTTTCAATGTGGGTCTTGTCACTAAAATTGTATGGAGCTACATTTGTTTCTTTATTATTCAATCAAGCAGAGTAGGTTTTGCAATCAAAAAAAGATTTGAGAGCAAAAGTATCAATATTGCAATCAAAAAATGTTTTATTGCAAGTAAAAAATGACTGATTAAAAAATGCAAATCCAAAAGTTTTGTTTGCGAGTCATTTTTTTTTTCGTTTGCAAGTCAAAAAGTTTTGAGAGTAAAAAGTTGAACCTGGTGGGCGGGGCCTAAACTGAAAGCTGTAAGACACATCTCTATTGGCCAGTCTCCGTCGGAATGACAGCTTGCAAAGCATTTTTTTTTCTTCTTCTCTCTGTTGGCGGATTGTAAACAATTTAAAGGTGCATACCGCCACCTACTGTACAAGAGTGTGCAACATCATGTCATTTAGCCTTTTTCTTAAATTTTACTCATCAGCCCAGTACGCTTGCAAAGCATACAGATACCCCCCATTCAATTTAAAGCATAACTGATTTGAGTAAAGGCACGAGAGCAAATCTGGGTATATAAACGGTTGGTTTGTGCTGTGTTCTTCAGTTGGCAGTTACACCTAGAGTAGAGTAAAGCTACTGAAGACCAGCAAAATCACCGTTTGGTGAGCACCTTCAGATTTTAGGAGTGTACCCTTAATCGATAACTTGTTTATATCGTTTGTATTGTGCTTCGTGATATTGTTTGAGGGAACTGTAACGTAAGGTAACTGCATACGAGTGGATGCAACTATCACTAGTGCTAGCGTAGTTCCTCAGGGATTTAAGCTGTTATTACTTTAATTTTGACAATCGAACCTGTGACAACACATTAGCTAAGGTTGATTTTGTTTAAATACGTTGAATTATAATTTTATGGGTTATTGTTTGTCGGAGGATTGAGCTAAGCTAACTAACGCTAACGTCAGCTGTCACGTGTTGCCATAGCAACGGTAAACATTCACATATGGGCTAAGTGCAGAGTGCAGAATCAAGCTTCATTGTAAATATAGCTAAAATACATTGTATTTAACACAGGATGTGACTTTTAGAAAAGAGCTATTTACCATCGCTCACTCAAAAAAATGAAACGTTGGCTTTAATTAAATATATTTTGTCAACAGGTTCCACGAAATTGTATTAAGTTAATTACAATTAAATATATAAAGTCAATCTAACTTAATCAAATTGTTTTAGAGTAACATAATGATTGTGAATTGATCCAAATAAAAACAATTACTTCTGATCAATAAGAGTTATTTCAGCTTGTCTTAATTAAATCAATTATGTTATATGAACTTAAAAAATATATTGTCATCCTACATATTTTACATTTGCCCTTTCAACATACATCTTATATCTACAAGTAAAATAATACATTTAAGTTCAATTAATAAAAACATTATACTTTCATTTAATTTATTCTTTTTTAATTAGTTTGACATAATTCTAGTTTGTCAACAGGTTCCACACAAATGAATTTGGTACACCTTACATATTTTTGTTAATTCCTTTATTCACCAACGCATTTAACATTAGCATTTTGGTGCACTTGGTCCAAAAACAACATTATGACATTTTTAACGCAGGTATACACTGACTATGTACAAGTACTTCATACAACCCCTCTTCAAAAAACCCAAACTATCCCTTTAAATGTAAATACTTTCTGGTTTATTTAGTCCTCTGACAGTAAACCACCTATCTTTGGGTTGTGGACTATTGGTTGTGACAAAATAAAACATAAGGTTTTACACCTTGGTGTATCAAGTCAAAAATGCCAATCACAGATTCTCAAAGTGACAACCAATAGAAAAAAATGGACAGATTAATCACTAATGAAAATAACCATTTGTTGCATCCATCCAAATAAACTCAGTTGGCAACATTATGGTACACGATAGTCCATGGACATCTGTAAACTGCCTTTATGCAGCATAACACATACAACATAGAACAAAAAACATCCTTTTGACAATATTTTGGTCTAACATGACAGGCTTGGTGTTTTCAAAAAAAATTCAAACAGCATAATGGTCTAAAAATCTAACACCACACTTGCTGCTGTCAACATTGGCCTTTCAATTCACTTCTCAATTCTTGTAACTTGGAACTCAGTTTTACCACAAGACTACTTTTCACTTTATTCAGTTTTGATCCAAAATAGAATTGTGCCTATTCCGCATAACATTCAGTATGCAAATCAATGGTTGGCTCATTCAAACAGTTTGTTTTTGAGCACCTGTACCTTTGTTGAGAGTCTTGAAGCATCCAGTTGAAGAAAGATCTTCTGAAGCACTTCAAAGAAGGCTTTCAGTTCTTGAGGATAACTGAGGTTCAGTGCATAGATTACACCCATCAAGAGTGCACATGCAGTGGCAATGTCTCCCAAGTCATGTAGAACTTCAACACCCTCGATCACGATTCCCACATCAGCTGGAGGAATGGCGGCATCACCTCCTTCAACAGTGATGCTGTAGATGCCATGGAGAATTTGTTCAACCTCCCCTTGAGTAGTAGGATCGGAATCCTTTACATGGGACAGAAAGACACGACAAAAAAAAAAAAACAAAAAAAAACAACACACTATGAAATCACAAACAGATTTTGCAGAATTGAATAGCATTATTTAATGTCAACTCACTTGGTACTTTATTTGGAACAGCACTGCTTTTACTTTTACTAAGCTTAGACATTTTGTTTGTGTTTACATTGTGTTAACAAGTCTTCCTAATATGTTTATATGATCTAGTGAGTAGCAGTTCTGAGCTGGAGAGCACAGATAAACAGCTCCATGAGTGAGGAGTGGAAATTCTCACTGCACCACTCCACTTACATGCTCTGGTAGACAATATTAAGAACACTTATCAATAAAACTGCACTACCGCCACCCACTACTACCTCAGTTATAAGTAAAGTCAAATTATTTTTCTGACAATGTCAGAAAAAATTAAACTGTATAAGCTTCATAAAAGTAATTGTATTGGCTTACGTTAGATTGCACAGGTGTCCCTAATAAAATGCATGGTTAAGGTATATATTAGATTTCAAAATAAGTTTAAACAAACTAATTCCAAGCAATTATAATTAAGTAACAACATTAGTTATTCAATAATTGGTTGAATAGAGGTGAAAACAATTAATATTACTAACCAGGTATTCCTTGAAGAGGATGTCTGGGTCTTCATTCAGATAGACACAAAGTGCCTTCAGGACGCACTCCCTCTTTCTTTTGACAGTTTCATTCTATAAAAAAAAAGAAAAGAAAAAAGAAACTTTAGGACTGCACATACACACCTACTACACCTCACATTTCTAAAAGCATCTGAATAATGGTACATATTGCACTCCTTATCCAAAACATATTCAACTGGTTCAACTACTTGGAACCTGTCTTTGAAGTACTGCTTCCACTTAAAAGCAGTGCCAAGTGGGCCTTGATCTCCAATTGTTTTTGTCAAAGGGTTAGAGAGGCAGACTGCAGAGGCCAACTCCTGTATTTCTGTTGCATTACGACCAAGATTATGCTTAGTACAAAAAACTGACACAATGCCATTTAATGTAGTCATGGACACAGAACTCATCAGGAAGTGCAAGTCCTGTAAAAGTTCATTGACTGCACTGCTTGGAACATGGAGTATGTTTTCCATCTTAAGCAACACTGCTGCAAATTTTTCTTGTATTATCTTCTCAACATTTTCTGAGATGTCCGTCTGAGAACTTGACTGCACTTCTAGCTTGTCTTCATCAAATACTTCACTGTCTCCATGTTCACCTGAAAGATTCGGTGCGTCAAAACTCTCTCTCAGTGAAACTATTCCAGGTTTAAAGTCACTGTAAGAAAAACCAAGGTGCTTTCTATTTTTATGTGATTTAAATGTCCCATAGATGTTTGTGCTAAATGAACATCCTTTGAAGAAGCAGGGGACTGTTTCATTGGCTTTGAGATGCAAATTTAGATGTGCAAAATACTCTTTTTCAGAGGAAACTTCAGGGAATCCACAAACATGACAGTTGAATGTGGCCAATGACGATGTTTGCTGTGATGTCTCTCGGTTATGGACTTGACACAAATGTGACCTGAGCGCATTCCATAAGTTAAATGTACACGGACAACTACTGTATGGGCAAGGATATGGGTGCTGGCGCCCATAATGTGGATGTTTTGACCTATAGTGTTTAAGTAACTGGTCCCTAGTTGGGGTCTCTGAACTGCAACCTTTACCCTGCCACATTCAAAATCTGGAAAAAAACAGCAAAGGAATATCAGTAAAGAAAACTTAACTTGTAAAACATTTTCTTTAGAAAAGTGTGACTGAACATACCATGTGCAAGCTCAGCAGTGCCGCCTACACCACATTAATGAGGGAGGGAGCAGATAAAGGCCAGAATCTGAAATTCAAGATGTTAACAGGAGTCATCAACTAATAAATTCATCAGTTGCTTTTAAGAAAACCAGAGTTCTAAAATTAAATGAGCTATTCAGAAGAAGAGCAAGATATTGAAGCTGTCACCTGATGCATGTTTCTAGAAATAAAAATACAGACAACCCAATTCACAGTAAATGAGTAGTTAGTTGAGATCATACCTGTTATGAGTACAAAGCCTTGTCCAGACAGGAGGGAGCACAAATGATCAATGGACCATCATTCAGGACCTGATATATGCAACATGATGATGACAAAAAGATAGAAAATCAACTGAAATAAATGTAGAAAGATTTTAACAGAAGGGGGGGGGGTGTAAGGCCTTTTTGATTTATGTGATTTGATTATTATTTAAGTTTAAAGAACTTTGTGAGTTAAGAGCTGAACACAATCTATATTCACAAAGTCTACACTTTCTGAAAACACTAAATTTACACTGCTTTTATATCATCACTTATCATGACTTCCAGCACTCAACTCAATTAGTGCATTCTACTTTGAAAGAATATATGAACTACGTTCTTTATGTTTAGAGTAGAATATCACAGCAAATCTGATACAGATATCATAGCCGGGCCACTAGACACTTTGTTTTGAACTGCAAATCATAAATTCACGACAGAGGCTGGTCACCTTTAACTGTCACTGTTAAAAATTAAGCCTAAAGCCCATTTCACTAAGCTTTGTAAAAAAAAAAGTTTTAAGTTTGGAAATATAATACAAAAACAAAACTGTTAAAATACTTACATATAATGATATGGTGAATCATGTACTCAAAAGTAGACGCAAGCTTCAACAGCAGCTAAAGGTATCTCCTTCACCTGCAAACGGGAGAGGATGCAATTAGATACTGAAAATTCAGAGAGGAAAAAAAAA